ATAAATAGAATTCATTGTGATGCAGATGTGGGATTTGGAGAAGAGGAGAACAACATTGTATTTCTTAAAATGATTCTTTTTTCCCAAAATGCTTTTGAAAATCCATCAAACATGTACATACTTGAAAAGCCAGATGAACACTGCAAAGAAAGGTAGCCCAGTGTAATACTTGGTCTTTCCATCATCATTAGCAATCATCTTCTCTGCACTCCATTTGTGCCGGTCACGTTCTCTCTTGAGATCCTCTAACTCTTTCGTCATGGCAAGGTTCTCCTCCAGTAGAGGGTCAGGGTTACATTGTACACCTATAAATTTTGTTTTGAAAACAAAAAAAATTGAAAGAGATGTTACTTTTTTTCCTGCTGAAAACATGAAAATATTGTACATATATATGTTTTTCATTACAGATATTCCTTGCCTTATACATGTATATACCTTTATCAATAAAGGTTTTTATGTCAATGTCATCGAGTTTCAATGTCTCATCAGGTACGAAGGTGCTGTTGTTGTTTATATCCTGAGAGTCTGACTCTGGAGGTTGCAAACATCAACAACTGTGGATGTATAAGCTAAATTCATGGTGCTGTTGCATTAAACGTCTGTCTCTAGCTTCTGTTTCATTGATTTCATACAATTTGAAGTTTCAAGGTAATAAAATGGTGCAAATTATTTCAAACTAAAACATGCTGCCAAGCATTTTTAAAATTCAACATTGACTGCGTCATACAAAAAAATCCTCCAGAATTAATGGTCATATTTTAAATTTAATGAATTACATTTATAAGTATTAATATAAAATTATACTTATTCTATGATATAGCTAGGGCTTGATTTTATGGGTCGGGTTAAAAATGTGAATATGTTAATATTTTTCTTTTAAATTTTATAGTTATAGGTAAAGAGACCTAGCTGAAAAACGAACGCGTATAGGCTTAATGCATTTCCGTTCTGAATATGACTATAAACTATATAGAGAGTATTTATATGCATGTATATAAGCTGATCTAATATACCTGCTGCAAATTTCTTCTGCATTTTCTTTCCTCCCTAGCGACGTCAGAGTCAGTTTTCGATTTTTTTGTAAGTGAAAATTGTCGATAGTTCTCATCCTCAATCTCGTCGCTGTGCCACCCCCCTATAAAATTTTCAAAGCAGATCCGACTGCATTGGTTAGATACAGCATATCTCTGTTAATCGCACGAATCCAAGCCTTTCTCTTCTTACTGTGTTTTGGAAATCTGAAAAAACTTATGCCCTTGCCCTTTCCTTTCTCGCCTTGGCGATTAGAACACTGGTAAACAACGCAGTGAAAGACCATTACGTTGCTATTGTAAACAACTGTGGGTGTTTTGTTGCCGTCCGGAAGCGTTTCTACGCATGCGCTAAAACAGGACCGCAGTTAACGAGAAAAGGCTAATTGTAAAAGTGAAGAATTTACAAGTGAAATTAATATATTTAACTTGTATAGGTACCAGACTCACTCAAGACAATTTCAGGTGATTTTGGTCTTAACTTTAACTGGACAGGCGGTGAACCCTGGACTTTGAACATCTGTACCTAAACTTGCTAGGGAGGGGAAAGGATGGATGGTTACTGCCCTTTTGGACTAAGATTAAATCCAACATTACTCAAGTATAATTTCCGATGAAATGTTCATAGGGTTAATGTGTCTTACTGCACTGGTGATATTAACATTACCAATATAACTCAAAATCAAGCTTTCTCCATTGACGATTTGTTTATTTCTTTTGGTTCATTTTTGTTTTTATTTCAATTTTTTTCTTAAACTACCGCTCAGATTTCAGATCCGGGGTATTAATACCAACCCAAAGACTCTAGCGAGCACTAGCATTTAATAATACTGAGCATGTATTTTTTTCCTGAGCTTTCTCTTAAACTTTTAGTACAATATACAGAGATGTATAAGATAAAGTGGATATAGAGTTTAACTGCATTAAATTTGACATAAAGATTATAAAAACCTTTATGATTATTATTTGTTAATTATTATCATTATTATTAGTATTATTTATCATGCAAAATCAATGTACACGTAGGACCTTATCATACTGCCTAAATCTTATATAGGATGATTGGATGACCCGACAAACGGATACCTTTGACTAACAGTAATTATCTTAATGACTGCATGAAGGGGTGCCACTTACTTGTACCTTAACCCTTATCCAGAGAGACCTATGCCATATTAACACTGACATTCCGATAATATAAATCCATTTTTTTTTAAATCGTTGAACCTACATCACTTGTATATCTGCCAAATTACAAATGCATGCGTACCCGTCATTAACCTCAACCCCCACCCCGTCCCCTAGATTGGCTACTAGGCACTTCTTCTAGCCATGGATGACTGATTAGTGATCTTGATCTTGTAGGGCAGCTTGTTAAACTCAATTTCTTCTAGACCTAACCCATCCAGAATCCGGGGTGGCACATGTGTTATCTTCATATCCCCTTCTTTAACTGCTATCTCGGCCATCCGTTTCCATTCGTATCCTTATACGATTTGCTGTATCACGTCTAACTTGTTGTTCCCATCTTCCTTGATTTGAGAGTGACATTACGACCCGATGGCAGCAGGTATTTTTGGTATTTCTATGACATGAAATTTTGCAACATGTCTGCTCTTCTAGATTAGCTTTATTCGGTAGATCATGAAAATCGGGCTCATACGTGTGCTTGATTATATTGCGTCATCTATTTAAAACCAATAGTCTCGAAAATGTTTAACAACTACCAAGAACGCACGAATTATCACCCTTGCACTGGTATTTAAAGCATTTATCACAATATGGTGATAAATGCAATTTATAACTTTAATTAAAAATATTTCAGTAAAAGATTTGTAACATTGCAAGATTCTTTTTAAAAAACATCATAGTTCCCTTATCATAAATCTATCTTAAATGCAGTTAAGTTATAAAAGAGGATTCCTTAACTATTGTTGTGTGTACATATATTGATTAGTTCGTAGTTCGTACGTTGATTGTTCCTGATTTGATCTATTTATCACAATACTTACACTTCACGACAGACGTTGAATTAGAGTTCATGGTGTTGAGACTTGGCTGGGTCACCGATACACTCGTACTTGGAGTTAGTGTGGTAGATCTGATTTCTACAAAAAACATAATGGACATACGTTGATTTGTTTTCAGCTACTATAATGTTTCAGAATATTTTCTTTATCTAAACAAAAAAATACTTTCTTTGGTTTTTAGTAAAGGAAAAATCTGCAATAGCAACTAGCTTAATTCCCACACTAAAACAATAAAGACATTTTATATAAAGTAGGAGAAAGTACGTTAAATATTATATCATTGATACAATGGACTTTGTATGTATACCACTGTATGTTTCATTGGTAGAGGAGCTACTGTTAAAAAATCTATTCAAATGGCTTCATAGCAATGTAACATGGTGAGTGTGTTCAATGTTCTTTATTCCATTTATGAAGAAACAAGCTGACAATGTTTCTAAGAAAGGGGTATATGTGGCGTTTACAGCATATGTGGCGTTTACAGCAGTGGTTCATTAATGCATATTCACTCTTGATAATTTTCCACCATGGCTAGGAAAGCACAAGAAATGACCAGCATGCAACAGAGTGTCCCATGTGATATCATCAAAATATTCACAATTATTTCCAAGCTTAACTTTTTCATATATAAAATACTTTTAATAAGAACTTAAAATAATAACAATTGATAAAAAAAATAACCATTTCAGTAAATACCACAAAACTAAATCCAATACAATTTCCAGTGTTATGTAAAATGATACAATGTAAACAAACCAACTCCCAAAAATCCAACACTTTATTTTTTATATAAACAAAATGATAGAATTTTCAACATAATTTTTCTCCTTATAACATATCTCCCCCCCTTTGACATTGCTGTCCCCAGCAATGTAAAAAAAATACAGCCGTAGTACAGTGATTCACATGTTAAGCACTCAACAAAAAAATTACATGTAAAATTCTATCTGTACAATTTCCATCAATAAATTTTCAATATTAAATATTAAAAACAACTATTTCTGTCCATGTACATTTGCCCACGATTGGCTTAGCGTTGCACTCAAAGACTTTCCTAAAGATGCACCTCAATTCACTAAGGCATCACTACGTTCACTAATGTTTTTATCATCCACTGAAGAAACACGAACTTCCTTACACGAAACAAGGGCGCTACCGCAAATAAAACGATTGGAGTGTTTTTCTGCTGTTGAACGCGATGAACGTCTATATACAGTCTGTTCCATTTCATCTTGACCGTCCTCGTCACTCAGACCGCTAGAGGTGTCAGATTGAAACATTTCTCCTATCGGAGGGGTTTCTCCGTTGTGCTTTGATGTCCATAGGCTGGACAACAGTCACATCATCAACATCGCTATCTGACTTGTCGTCTACTTCATCACCTGTATCAAAAATCTCTGTCCTTGTTACGTTTCTCGTTGGTCCATTCCCGTCTGCAGGGGAGTTGGATCGTGTATACATTTCCTCCTGGCCTTGCAACCACCTTGTAGGGTATGGATGACCACATGTCCAGAAATTTGTTTCTCCCTAACACACGATTTCACAATAATACTCTCGTGCCAATCTTGATTGGTACCTCTTTAGTATTCCTGTTCTGAATCTCTTTTCTACGTTGACCATTTTTTTTCTGTATTTGTAGCTGCTGAATGCAAAGCTTCACTAAGTCTTTTCTTATGTTTATTAATCCAGTCGTCTATGGTGGAAGCGTTGGACTCCGACTCTGCATGAGTTCCAAGAAGAAATATATGGGCAATGTAGGTTCACGGCCAAAAAATAAGAAGTAAGGAGAAAACCCTGGCAGATATTCCGTCCACCTTTTCTTGTGTTCATTAGTAAGAGTGCGTAGTCGATCATGCATGGTCTGATTAAATCGTTCGCACTGTCCATCACTTTGGCGTGGATAGCGGGGTAGTTCTTGATTTCTCCACACCGTAAATTTTACAGAGCTCTTGTATGACTTGCCTTTCGAAGTTGTGTCCCTGGTCGCCGTGTATTCTGTTCGCAATATTCCATATCGTACGAACAATTCCTTCACAATCGTTTTAGTTACTATCACAGCTTTCTGGTCCCTTGTTGGTATTGCCTGGGTGAATTTTGAAAATATATCTGTCATCACCAAAACGTTTTTCCGGCCATCCGTTGACTTCTCGAGTAGAGTGTAGTCAATTGCCAGTATCTCCATAGGACGAGATGCAATGAGATTTCCCATTGGTGGCTTTATACTTGGCATGAGTGCTTTTGCAATCATGCAACGTTCACAGTTCTTACACCACTCTTCTGCACATCCTGAGCCATTCGTATCCAGAAACACCTTTTGCGTAGTAATGCCAATGTCCTTTCCACACCTTGATGTCCTGCGTGATCATGCACACTTTCCAACACTTTGTCTTTCAGAATTTCCGGTAGCAGAATTTGTTTGATTTCACCAGTCTCGTCAATACATCTCTTGAGTAACACATCCAATTTTACTGGAAATGATGAAGAGTCTGCAGTCTGATCTTAACTCTTATGTTCTGATCATGTTCACTCTCTTTCACAATGTGTCTTATCACAAGCTCAGTATCTAGTAAAACTTTGACTTTGTACTCATCTTCTGATGAATGAAGCAACTCTGCACTGTGCACTACACCTAATCAAGTCTTTGGTGTCAACCACATATCCTCATGTCCAGTGTTCATCAATTTCACTGGTACTGTCCCATCTTTCATTTCAATGAATATGTCCAAAAATAATATATTTTTGAGTAGAGAGCCATTTTCACTTGATATTGCTTGAACTACTGCGGTTTGCGGTACAGATGACTTCCTTCTTCTATTTGAACCAAATACCACTTTCATCGAATTTGCTTGAATTTTCACTGATTGTTGTGCTGCCAATTTCACAAATCCAATCTGTATGTTTTCCTCATCTACGTTTTAGATAAACATTACATCGTTCCAAACAGTTTCTTTTGTTGTCAAAGGTTTCTAACGTAAGTGTTTCCTGTCACATTGGAGAACGTTGCATCCTAAGTTGTACTGGGTCACTACTATTAGTCTCACATTCCACATTTGTACACACAGTTTCCTGTATTTTCAAAGTAACTTCAACATATCCAAGATGCGGAATATTCAGCTTGTTGGCTGCGGATAGTTTTACAATTTTAGAAGTATCACTGAGTTTTGATGAAGACAAGTGTTTTTAGGTCACCTAAGTTTACTATCTATTGCTATCTGTTTTCGTCCGTCGTGCGTTAACATTTGAACATTTTCAGCTTCTTCTCTGCAACCACTCAACCAATTTCAACCAAATTTGGCACAAAGCATCTATGGGTAAAGGGTAACAAAAATTGTGAATTTCATAGTCCCTGCCCCCCCGGGGCCTGAGGGGTGGGGCAAAAACCACTAAAATTAATGAAATCTTTAAAAATCTTTTTCTTTACTCATGGACATCAAGAGTCAAACTGTTTGCAGGATTATAATCATCATTGAGTCCTCTACCAAAATTGTGAAATTCATGGCCCAAGGGTCAGGGGTTCTGGTGTTAGGACAGGACTCTATTAAATATAGTGAAATTGCATAAATTCATTGAAAATCTTCTTCTCTGCTCCTGTGTATTAAATAAACTAACCAAGTACAAAGTTATGTTGCATAAGACTGCCTCTACCAAAATTATGAAATTCATGGCCCCTGGGTCAGGGGTTGTAGTGCAAGGGTGGGGTTCTATTCATTATATAGTGAAATTGTATAAATTCTTTGAAAATCTTCTTCTCTGCTCCTGGGCGTTACATAACAGGGATGGGGTATTTAATAAAAAAAACTATCCAAGTACATAGTTACGTGGAATAAGGCTAAATTGAAAAAAATGTTCATCCGACTCCCCAATACTCCCTAACGGTTTTATGACAGAAATTAATGTTTTACGGTGTGACCGTTGGGGCGAGCGCAATTAATTACTATCAAAAACATATAATGTACATACTTAGGCAAAAAAAAAATTAATTTCTTGGTTCTCAGGCCCTCCCTCATCTCTTCCAAGGGTGCCTCATTGACCCTTTTTATTGCTAAACCAATAAAATAAAAATCACCTCCCTCATTATTTTTTGAGATTTTGTACAATGTAAAAAGCTGCCTCATCATGTTTTAGGGGCAATAAAAAGTAAAAAAAAATGCCTCCCTCCCTCATCATATTTCTTGAAAAAAGGCCTGAGAACCAACGGAATTAACTTTGCATGGCCTTAGTCTAGTAGCTTTTACTTGCACTGTCTATTCTCATACAATTTATTTCAAAAAGAGAAGAAAAAATATCAATCTCTTCCCTGGCATCGAGGTCCAGATTCCGAACCCGAGCCGTTGAAGTGACGAAAGTATAACGTCAGATAAAAAGTCCCGTTGACTTAGGACGCAAACAATAGATTTGTGGCGCGGAGATTGCATTAAGTCATTGTAATTTCCTGGCAT